TGACAATTTCTGTTATGCTCTTAAGTGAGATTAGGTTCTTATTTCTCTCGCTGCCCTTTTTTTTTTGGTAACAGAATTACATCAGCCTTATAAAATTAGGTGTGTGGCTTTCCATTTTCTTCTAGCCTTTAGAACAAGTTTATGGGAAACAGCTGTTACATAAACAGTTAGTGGTACCAGTGTGTAAAAAATCTGGGCCCACTGCCTTTCTGAGGAGGTATATGGCTATAGCTACTTTGACACTCCTCCAATTTCTTATCTCTTCCCTTTTCTTTTGATTCAACTGTGGAAATTTATATTTTCTTAGAAATACGCTAAGATTCTGGTGTTTATTGATATAAAGTTTCTATGGTTTCTTTGATAATCATTTTTCCTTTCTTCATCTATAAATGTCACCTTTTTCATTTTATATAAATTAAAAACTTTTTTTTATATATTGACTCTTCCTTTTCTAAAATTCTTACGTAAATCTGGCCAAAACTTATCTAAATAATATTAAAATACAGCTTAAGAATATTGGACATAAAAATATATGTTTGCTGTTTCAAGAATACTTGCTTTTATTCATATTCCCTCCCAACTATTTTATTAGGGTTTGTTTTATAATTTCAGCTTTTGGATTTGATAGCATAGTTCATCATTCTAGATCTTTCCTATCTTTTTAAATAAATGCAAATGGCTTGGAAAGGACACTGTGATGTGGCCCCCCAGGCACCTTTAATGAAGAATCTGTGGCCCCAGCTGCTGGGAGAACGGTGGGCACACAGACTTCGGCCGCCAGCCTCCTCAGGGACTGACCAGCTTCTGAGAGTACCGTGTCCAAGGTCCTGCCCCTTCCTGGGTGGCTCACAGTCAGTGAGTGGTCAGTGCAAGAATATAAAGTCCTGGACACCTTGGCCCAAAACTAAAGCGCATTTAGCTCCAGAGCTTCCCGTAGAGTCAGCTGAGACTGTTGTTGGACTGCCATCAAAGGTCAGATTCTCCTCCTAAACCCTGCTTCTCCCACCTCCCCCTGTGGGTGCTGACTTCAAAGTCTTCCCAGGGAGCCCAAACTGCAAAGAAGGCTGTAATTGTCCTTCTTCAAATTCATGTTAAGAACAATGCTTTAATTAAGATTCAATTTTAAATATTTTGTAATTCTGATGTTTTCTTTTTAATTAAGGAATTGACTGAGTGCTTTTTAAGAAAAAAAAATTCCAAGTATATGGAGTGTAAGGCCATTAACTTTTGTTACTGATTTCTGCTTTTAATGAGTTTCTTATGACCTACTTACAGTGTGGTCGGAATGACCTACTTAACTACAATTTTTACAACTACTTCGTATGTGTTGAGAGTGTGTGCTATCCAAATCCTCTAGCTACCTTTTTATTATTTTGAGTCTATATGATCTGTAAGTTTCAGAGAGAAGACTGTTAAAAATCTCCCACTATGATTGAGAATCTGTTGATTTACCCTTATGATCTTATTATTTTCCTAATATTCTTTGTTAAGTGGATATATAGGTTCATAACGAATTATAGAAATGATTCCTGAAACTATGGACCCTGATTCTGGGGAAGTCTGAAGGCAGAAGGAGAAGAGGGCAACAGAGGCTGAGATGGCTGGATGGCATCACCAATTCAAAGGACACGAACTTGGGCAATCTCCAGGAGATGGTAAGGCACAGGAAGGCCTGGGTGGGGTGCTGTAGTCTATGGAGTTGCAAAGAATCAGACATGACTGAGCAGCCGAACAAGGTTCATAACCGTACCTTTTTTTTAATTTTTTTTATTTTTATAACCGTACCTTTTTGATGGACTGTTACTTTGGTCAGAATGTCACTTACTGTCCCTTCTAATCGACTATACCAAAGGCTTTGACTGTGTGGATCATAACAAATTGTGGAAATTCTTAAAAAGATGGGAATACCAGACCACCTGACCTGCCTCCTGAGAAATACGTGTGCAGGTCAGGAAGCAACAGTCAGAACTGGACATGGAACAACAGACTGGTTCCAAATAGGAAAAGGAGTACGTCAAGGCTGTATATTAGGGAAATCAGTCCTGAATATTCATTGGAAGGACTGATGCTGAAGCTGAAGCTTCAATACTTTGGTCACTTGATGCAAAGAACTGACTCACTGGAAAAGACTCTGATGCTGGGAAAGACTGAAGGCGGGAGGAGCAGGGGATGACAGAGGATGAGATGGTTGGATGGCATCACCGACTCAATGGACATTAGTTTGAGTAAACTCCGGGAATTGGTGATGCACAGTGAAGCCTGGTGTGCTGCAGTCCATGGTGTCTCAGAGTCAGACAAAACTGAGCAACTGAACTGAACTGAACTCTGGTCTTGAATTCTAGTCTGAGCCATATTAATATCATCATACATACTTTGTTAGTGTCTAATACATTTTTCTGAGGTATGCTTCTTATAAACAAAATATACTTAGATTTATATTTTTAATCAACTTAAGTTTGTTCCTTTCAGTGAATGACTTTGAACAGTTCACATATACCATTATTACTAAATATTACTACTAAAATGTTTGTTTTGGTCTAACTTCTGCCATCTTACGTTGTGTTGTAATTTTTCACATTTTTGTTTCTTTTTTCCCTTTGTACATATGTAGCATTGAAAACAGTTTTCTTCTTTCAGTATTACTTATACTTAATGTAAAAATCTCTTTCTGACTATATCAATAACCATTTTCCACTTCTGTCACACTTTCAACCATTTGTTGGGTCTGTTGATAATTCTGTATTAAGGCAATGTGACATTAGGTAGTTTTATATTAATAACAGACAAAGCCCAAATTCCCATGGCTTCACTCATGATACATCCCAGTATGAGTATTCCTACGTCAGCCACTATACACATGGCTGTTTAGGGCCCTTTCATCTCATGGGTCTGCTCTTCTCCAAGTCCTTTCAACCTGGCTTGTAGACAGAGAAGTAGACTGTGGAGCAGGTATGTCTGCTCAAAACCACTTTGTCCCAAGAGCAACTTATACATTTTCCTCCTATCGTTCTGGCAAGAACTTGTCCTGCGGCCCCACCTACATGTAAGCGGTGCTAGAAAATGAAAACTGCAACTGAGCAGACACTAAAAAGCAACCACTCCAGCAGGGGACGGGATGAGGGGCTGTATCTGCCACACTCCAGCTTCTCTGCGTTCCAGATTATTTGGTTTGCTCATCGCTACCTCAAGCATGGAGAACCCTGGCCCCCTAGCGAGCACAATCCATCTCTTTATGCTCCGCGCTCTCACCCACCTAATCCTTGCGTGAGTCCCAGCCTTCTGTTCTGTGTTTGGCATTATCTGTTCCATCAGCCCTTCTCCAGAATGAGATGCTATCAGCATCCCGTTGGGATGCTATAGGTAGGCAAACCAGTTACTCTCCCAATGATGAGGGCATTCCCTCTGTGGGCCTAAACCATGAATAAGAATGCTGGGAATACAGAAATCTCCCATTGGAATTCGCTCTGCCATCTGTCTCTGAGCTCAAGTAAAATCTTTTAGACACAACCAGACTCAGCTTGTTAATCCCCCAAGTCCCAAACACACCTATTTACTTTCTGACAATTATAACCATCAGTCTTTATATAGTTAACTTTGCTATATGTTTTCACTGCCTTTTAATTTTAAATCCTTTTTGATAGATTCTTTTAGCAACACACATGACTTCACCATAAAAAGTCAATTCCTATTTATCTAGGATCCAAAATCTAAGAACCCTGTTTACTTCTTGTTTCCATGGCAACATAAATGAGGACTGAAATTTGTATTAGACACCCTAAGGCAGGGGAAATGCCAAATGGTTTTTGAATCTCAAAAGATGAAACTTCTTCAGAATGGCTTAGCCCTTTATATGATAAATCACATGTCTGTGTTTTACTGTATCAATAATTTATACTTATAGGTAAGCAGACCAGTTTCACATAAGGTTTCACACCTGCTGTATTAGATACAATAATCTAAACAATGACCTAAAAAGAAAATATTTTCCCTTAACTAAAAATTTAACTAACATATGTTCCATTTGTCCAACTGATAAATTATCAACATATGCTTTAAAATCTACTCACTATAAAGGCAAAGTGTGCATTTATTGTTTAGGGAGAGATCTTTAAGGGGAAGATCAGTGAAAAAAGATAAACGAAAAATGAAGAAAAGAGAGAATAGTGATACAAAGTAAAGCAAACAGACACACAGAGAGATCCAGAAACAGCCAAGACAGCAAATTAGAGAAAAAAAGTTCAGAATGTCAAAGAGAGTACCATGGCCCAAGAGGTGTACTCACCTTAGTTATTCAAGCAAAGGACAGAAAAATGAGTCAAATTTTTCTGTAACAACAACCATGTTCTTTTATGACATGTTACTATGGCTATTCTGCACCTATAAGCAAAATGGCATGTTGCTTCTTCGTATGTAACACCAACCAAGCAAATTAATACATTCAAATTAATGTGTTCACCCAGTAACTTTTAGTTGAGTGCTTACTACATGCTCTGCTCTGTTAGAAGTGTTGCAGGTTTGGCAGTGAATAAAAAAGACAAAATCTCTGCCCTGATGATGCTTTCAAGTGGAACTGAGTTATCTGTCTATAGAATGAAGGTTTCTTTCCTCAACTGTGCAGTAACTTTTCAACCTAACTGCCAATTACTTAAATTGTCAACAATTTCCTTTTACCTTGGTTCTCAGTTCCTGACAATGTTAGTAAAGCTGTGACCTTGAATACACGCATCACTACAATCCTAGTTCATACATGAAAAGGCTAGAATGTTCAATATTACATTCAGTATTTCGTTTCACTATTGTAGTACTCTCTGAGCTTTTTGCTTGTACAAACATTATTGACATGTTTTGAGCAGGAGCCCTAATAGTTATAATTTATAAATTACGTAGACATATTATATACCAATCTGTTTGCATACATTATAAAATAAACCCCAAAGCAGAAATTAAATGGATATAAAAAGTAATAGACAGACAGTTTTCCCTACATCCCCAGGACTCACCTGCTGCTTGAGGGGTATGCAAAGCTCCATGTGAGAAACCACTGCACTTAGGCTAATTTCTCACACTTTTAAACTTTGTGACAACTAATCCTTTATCCATTTTGACAAAAACTGTGACAAAAGAAAATAATCTGACTCAGTAAATCACAGCAAGTTGCAAAGTTGGCTTAATTCCCATAGTTTGCTGTTCTCTTCCTCTGCCTCAGTAGGTAATAAACATTTCAGTTCTGGGCTCATTGAAAAATTAATATAAATTCTGATTGAAGATTTTCATGGAGCTTATATCAAAACAATGAATAACTTCTTAATAAACACTTTCACCATTTACTAAATGTTACTTTATCCTTTCACGGAATCCAAAGGCTTTACTGGATCTTTCATTGCTAGACTTGGTGTGGGTATGTGTGTGTGAACATGCCTGTGTGTATGAACCAGGGCCTTTCTTACGAATAGCAAAAACACTACCCAGCACTGGTGAGGCTATTATTCCTTTCCAATCAGTGACATTTACATGTCAGCAATTTCTATTATCTCAGCAGTTTTTTAACAAGATAATAGAGCAGGTACAGTAATATTATCCCAGTTTTACAAAGGAGGCAAGGCACAAGAACTGAAGCAGCTCTCCTAAGATAATGTGGCAAGTTAACAACAGAGACAGAAGATTCTAAAACAGAACTCACCTAACACCAGCCCAGAGTGCTTCTCTGATCTCAAACTGCTCTGATACACTGACTACTGAAACCTGCATCTTCTCCTACCACAGGCCACGTCGCAGATCTTTTCTTCACAAAGTACCAAGAGTGTGATTCCACACCAGGTTTATTTTAAGGGCACTTACTATCTTTCACTTACTTAAAGCACAGGGGATATCCTTTTCTCACAAAACCACAAGTCACAGGATTTCTTCTATTTAAGGTTAGAAAGTTCACTGGTCACACAGTGATCCCTTGTTATTTACAAGGCAAAGCTGAAACATTAATTAGGGGCTCCTTCTGAATTATGGTGCTCAGGAAGGAACAGAAAAAATAATAACAACCGTAACTATAACAAATTCTGCACCAATACATGAAACCCATCTGACTCCTGTGGTATTTTGCTTTGAGATACAGGAATCCCATCACTTCTTATACAATGACCCCCATATACAGTTTAATTGTTCTTCAAATCTGAGACCTAAGATTTTGTCATTTCCCAACATTATCAGGCAGCACCTGTGACAGGAGGGCTACAGAATTGATAGTAAGCAAAACCATATCTGAAAACTCACAAAAACCTCAAGGGAAAAACCACTCCAGCTAGTTATTGTCAAGATGTTTGTATCAGTTTCCTACTGGCGCTACAATACATTATCACAAACTTAGTGGTACACAAATCTTAACAGTTCTGGAGGTCAGAAGCTCAAAATGGACTCAGTGTGCTAAAATCACAGTGTCAGAGGCTCCAGGAAGAATCTGTTTCCCTGACTTTTCCAGCTTCCAGAGGCTGTGACATCCCTTGGCTCAGGGCCCCTCTCGTCAAAGCCAGCAATCACATCACTCCAACCTTTGCTTCTATTGTCACATCGTCCCTGACTCTTCTGACTCCCTCTTCCATCTTTCAGAGACCCTCATGATTACACTGGGCCAGCTGTATAATCCAGATTTCTCTCTGACCTCAGTGGCCTTCATCACATCTGCAGGGTCCCTTTACCATGTGGGGAAACATTCACAGGCTCCAGGATGTGAACATCTCAGAGGACATTATTCTGCCTAACAATGCTTGTATCTAGTGGGAACCAGCAGAAAATTCTCTGAGGTTCACATAGCTTGGTGTCAAGGAAAATTTAGGGAGTTTGGAAACATGTGGCCCTAGCCTGGGATCTGACTGAGGCATGGAGAAACTGTTCAATCTTTAATTATCCAACACTGAGCAAGCTCAATTTCCTTGTCTGTAAGGTTGCTGTAGCTATCTACATCTGATGGTTACTGGGGGATTAAATGAAGATAAGGAATGTGAACACACAGAGTACTGAGGCTGGTAAACAAATACAGATGTTAACTCAATGACATAAATGGACAAATGCTTAGACTTTGCAGTATGAATAACAACTATTACTTCCTTAGTAAGAAATATATTCATTTCCTGGCCAATCCTTATACTATTAATATTCTCTTCCCCTAAGCAGTTTCCAATAAGTTTATTTTAATATTTAAATAACTAGGAGATTCATTTACAGTGATCCTGATGCCTAATTTTAATTCAAGATAAATTACTGCTCTGAAAAAAATACTTGAGTAAGTTGGGGTTTTAGAAGAATTTATAGAGTTTTTAAAGTTTATGGCAAAGGAATTCAACATTTTTATAATTTAAGATTATTCCTTGCCCTTTTAAAGTGACATTTTTCATTCATTATATTAAAAGGCACATGCTTCTTTTTATTATAGCTTTGAGATTAGCTCCCATCACACATACACTTTGTGATGAGCAATTAATAATTGTCATCTCTATTAGAAAGCTCGTCTCGTTCCAACTATCAGGACATAATTCATTGTCTTTTCTAGGTGATTTATCACAAACTTCTTGAAACTGACTTTTGGCTACAATATGAAGATATGGTTCATATTATTTTCAGCAGCCATCTCTTGCAGCATTCAAAGAAGAATATGTCCATGATTCTAAAAACCAGAAATGTTATTCAAATGCTAACCTAATGGAATTTAATGTGTACTTGGCTACACAGGAGATGAACAACCCAGTAACAAACTCATGGCATATATGATAAACACATCGCATTCCAACACTATCCCTCCTCCTATCCCTGCCCCTTGATATAATAACACTCCATGGGGAATCTCTGATTTACCAGCTAGAAGCAGAATCTTATAAGCAGACAGCAACATATACCAGATGTGAGAGTTAAGGTCCAGAAAATACTTTCACACATTCTCAAATATTTTTGCTTCGGCTTGCTGGAAAATCTCCAGTAAAGAACAGTAACCTTGCTACTCCACATTTTTAACTTGCTGCCCAAGACTCAGTGAAACTAGCGACTATTTTGCTGCTTAGAAGAAGAAAAAGAAAAAAAAAAAAGATGAATAAGAGATACAGAGGAATGTGCTTTTTATTCTTCTAGGTTACTTTTCCTTCAAGTATTTATTTGGCTACACCAGGTCTCAGTTGCGGCCCGTGAGATCTAGTTCCCTGACCAGAGATCAAACCTGGGCCCCTGCATTGGGGGCACAGAGTCTTAGCCACTGGACCACTAGGCAAGTCCCAGTTAGTTTTCTTAGATCGAAAAAAATGCTATTTCCTTTCCTAGGTGGAAAGGTTTAATGGCCCGTGAGATCTAGTTCCCTGACCAGAGATCAAACCTGGGCCCCTGCATTGGGGGCACAGAGTCTTAGCCACTGGACCACTAGGCAAGTCCCAGTTAGTTTTCTTAGATCGAAAAAAATGATATTTCCTTTCCTAGGTGGAAAGGTTTAAAGTCATTTGGATTTTTTTCAATATTAGAACCAATTATAATATATAGGATATTAACAGATTTGTTTCTTTAATAAAACACTTTATCAGTACTTTCTTCACTTATGCACACACAAAACTGAGAAAAGATAAGGAATAAATTCTTCTGTATCTAAGATAACATGATAATGCCTCAACAGAAATAATTTAAGAAAACAAAGCATTGTATAGGCCTCAGTTTATAATATTCTGTGATGGTGTGAATGATGCTCATAAATGTTTCAAAAAATATTTGCTGCACTAGTTATGCGCAAAGGCCAGGGCTGAGTATTCGGTGAGAGTCAGGGAGATGAGGGAAGAACAGACCTATGTACAGGTCTTGACTGTCTTCCACCATCAGCCCTCCACCCCAAGCTGTACCAGAACCTACCAGTTTTTCTTCAATCGCTGGCCTTATATCACTACCTGTTCTGTGGCTTCCACTATTTTTCATTTATTGACAATCTTTAAAGAGCCAGGAGTACGACCGAGGCATTCTATATTTTCCTGTTCAGTGAAGAGAAAGTCACTCGGCCTGTGCAACGCCGCCTGCTTAAAACAAAAACAGTCCCCAATCCTTTCTGCTCCAAAGTCAAGGGAAAAAACCCAGTAGCCTGATGGGACCACCCCAGCTTGTTTATTTTGCCTTTCTCTGTAGAAGGCTGAACAGAAGTCCTCACAGTCTACAGGCTGGTGACACAGAAGCCTGTGCATGAAGCTCTCGGACTGACGACGCCCCTCAGTCCCCAGAAATGGCATCAACGCTCTTACATGAGGAATGTAAATTACCCCCAAAAGCTAATCTCTGTATACATTTTTAAGACACTAGGATTAAGGTCAAGAAATCCCTGACATACCTTTAGTATGTGAAATCATACGATACTGGGGAGGTGTGAGCATGAGATATACGCAGCCTTCTTTTCTACCATCCAGCAGTAGCTCATCCCACTTCTATCAAACAAGGAATTCAAAGTGGAAAACAAAGTCTGTCCAAAACAGCAAATGCACTCCAACAACAAAACATACACACAAATTCCACTTTTGTAAAACATGGAGCATAGGAACATTTCACTTGCATTCCTTTTAATCCCGTAAAAAAAACTTTGCAGACATTTTAAATTATGTTTATAAGTATCCTGGATTGTAAATTAAAGCAAAAGCAACCCATGCCTGGCAAATCCTAAGGAAATTAACTGTGAAGAAAATCTGGGGTGCCTTGGAGCATTTCAAAAGACCGAAGAGTTAGAACTCAAGAGTACTGCCTCGGGAAAAATAATTTCTAAATAAAAGAAACATTAAAATCTAAGAAACAGACAAAACTGGAAAAAATTATCTTTGCTGAGTAGTCTTAAAATAAGGCTTCTTCTTAATAGAATTTTCAGTTTAAAAACCAAAACTGCTCTCCTCTGCTTGGAAAATAAAAACTAACATTAATATCAGTAAACCATCAACTGAGCACCCAGGATGTTTCAGACCCTTGGTCTGCACATGACATTTATGATCTCATTTAATTTCCACATCAGACCCATGACGTCAGTGAAATTCATACTTTAACAAGTGGAGGAGAAAAAATGAGACTTAGAGATAAAGTTGTTTGCACAAGGACTATATACAGTCAGAAAATATTTGAAGAAAGCAGTTATAAATCAGATTGGTTTTGTCTAATATTAACTCTATAATTCTTATAAAAATGTGAGTTCCTTACTGGAATACGAGAAATACATTCTCTTTTGCTGTTATGCTGTATGACATTTTTTTTTAAATAAAGTTTTTTATGTGAAACCTTAAAAAGTGAAATCATTAGAGGCAACCAGGGACACCTGAGCCATGTCAAGGACCCGAGAGCCCGCCGGCCTCCAGAAGTTCAGGCAGCTCCCTGAAAAGCGTGACTAGCTCCCCAGTGTCACTTGCAGGGAACTGAAGGAAACACAGCCTGTGGCAGGCCTTTCCTCTCATTTGCCAGCGGAGGGAAGGGGACAGGGCACCATTTGCCACATGGTGTAAGCAACGTGATAAAACAAATGCCAGTCTTGGCTCTGCATTGCTCCTCCACAACTTAATAACCACAGGACTTTAGGACACTTCCCCAGTGCTTTCAGTCTGAATTTTCTTTCAGGGAGGTGGGCATAGCTGTCACACCTGGATGATGTCACAATCAAACAAGACTGAATGAGTAACTCACTGCTACAACAGTCACCGCAAAAACAAGAGGCGCTACCCATGATTTCTTCTGCTTACCCTCACCTCCACTATCACCCAAGTGCTTCCCCAGACTGGAAAGCACTCCTGGGACTTTACTGTATGCGTGAAAAAGAAAAGTGAAGTCGCTCAGTCGTGTCCGACTCTCTGCGACCCCATGGACTGTAGCCTACCAGGCTCCTCCGTCCATGGGATTTTCTAGGCAAGAGTACTGGAGTGGGTTGCCATTTCCTT